GTGTGTGTGTGACATGAACATCAATCAGCAAAACAAAGATGGAATTTGGAATATACTGTACAAATGGCAGAAAGATCTTGGAGATGTTGCCTGTAGGGCTCAGAAAATTTTCATCTTAATACAGGAAGGAGATAGACTTAGGACTGTTTCCATAGTGGGGTTAGATTTGGAACTTCTCATGTAGGAGAAGACAGTCACATCAGTTGCAAATTGTTGCATAACATAATGATGCCATGTAAATGTTGAGACATCTTTTGCTGTTGTACCGACTGTGTGCCCCTCGTGAAGAAAGGTATACCCCAAAATTCAACCTCAGTGTGTTGCTTAAAGCCTTGATGAATGTCCTAATCATGAGGTCTCTCCCTAACAGATCTCCCTCAATGATTTAATTGACTGCACCTAATTGTCCAACTTAACTTTTTCACCGGGTACATTTCATCCTGATTCAGTTTATCCCATCATGGTCTTTTAAAATATAACCTGTCATTCAGATAATCAGAATTAATGCTGGTTTTTTAGGTGTAATGACTTTTTTTTCTTTTATTGAAGCATAGTTGATTTACAATGTTGTGTTAGTTTCTGGTGTACAGCATAGTGATGCAGTTATATATATATTCTTTTTCATTATAGGTTATTACAAGGTATTGAATATAGTTCCCTGTGCTCTATGGTAGAACCTTGTTGTTTACATGATTGTGTTTTTTAATTGAAATTTTATTGATATAATTCTAGATTCACATGCAGTTGTAAGAAACAATACAGAGAGGCAAGTTTCCCCAATGGTCTTTTGCAAAACAATAGTATAATATCATAACCAGGATATTGACGTCATTAATACAATCCACCTGTCTTATTCGTATTTCCCCACTTTTACTTGCACTCGTGTGTGTGTGTAGGTTTGTATTTATCACCACAGTCAAAATACTGAACAACTCTAACATCACAAAAAAGTCTCCTGTTGCCTTTTTATAAGTCCCCGCTACTGTACCTTTCCCACTGTTCCTAACCCCTGGCAACCATTAATCTGTTCTCCATTTCTAAAATTTTGTCTTTTCAAAATGTTATATAAGTAGAATCATACAGCATGTAACTTCTTGGGATTGGCTCTTTTCACTCAGCATTATTCCCTGTAGATTCATCCAAGTTGTTTTGTGTTGTGATAGTTGGTTCCTTTTTATTGGATGTACCATAATTGGTTTAACCATTCACCTGTCTAAGGGCACCTGGGCTGATTCCAGTTTGTTTATGAACATTTGTCGTGCATATCTTGTGTGATATAAGCATTCATTACTTCGGGATAAGTGCCCAAGTGTGCGGTGGCTGGGCTGTGTGGTAATTACAAGCTTAGTTACACAAGAAACTGCCCAACTGTCTTCCAGGGTGGCTGTACCAATTCACACTCCCACCAACGATGTATGAGTGATTCACTTTCTCTGCATCCTCACCAGGATTTGGTTTTGTCACTTAAAAAAATTTTTGTCATTCTGATAGCTGTGTGGTGCTATCTCAAGGAGGTTTTAATTTGCATTTCCCTAACAGCTAATGATGCTGAACATCTTTTCATGTACTTATTTGCCATCTGTATGTGCTTTTTGGTGAAATGTTGTCTCTTCATGTCTTTTGTCCATTTTCTAACTGAATTTTTTGCTTTACTACTTTTGGATTTTGAGTGTCTTTATATATATATTCTAGATACTTATCCTTTGTGAGATTGTATAGGTTGCAAATATTTTCTCCCACTCTGTATCTTGTCTTTTGATCCTATTAACTAGGCCTTTTGCAGAGCAAGAGATTTCATTTTTGATGCTGCCCAGTTACAAATTTTTCCTTTTATGGACCTCATTTTGGTGTCAAGTCTAAGAACTCTTTGTCTAGCCCTGGAAATTTTCTCCTGTGTTTTTTCCTAAAACTTTTAGAGTTTTACATTAAGTTTATGATCCATTTTGAGTTAATTTTTGCATAAGGTATGAGATTTAGGTTGAGGTTTTTGCTTGCCTGCAAATGTCCAATTGCTCTAATATTATTTGCTAAAAAGGCTGTCCTTCCTTCATTCAGTTGCCTTTGTACCTTTGCCAAAAACCAGTTGAGCATATATGCGTGGGTCTATTTCTGCGATTTCTATGTTGTTTCATCAATCTGTGTCTATTCCTTTGTCAATACCACACAATCTTAATTACTGGAAGTGTTGAAATTGGGTAGATTGATGTGTCTCATTTTGTTCTTTTTCAAAATTATTTTAGTTTTTCTCATTCCTGTTCCTTTTCTTATAGATTTTAGAAAAAGCCTCTTTATAGCTACAAAAAAACTTGCTGGGCTTTTGATAGAAATTACATTAAACCTGTATGTCAATTTGGGGAGAATTACCATTTAACTATGTCGAATTGTCCAATCCATGAACACAGTATGTCTCTCCATTTATGTAGATTTTCTTTGAAATATTTCACCAGCATCGTGACGTTTCCCCCATACAAATCCTAGATGTGTGCTGTTAGATTTACACCTGAGTATTTCATTTTGGGGGCAGGGGGAATGATTGTAAATAGTATTTTAAAATTTCTGTGTACAAGTGTTCCTTGCTAGTATTTAGAAGTATAACTAATTTTTTAAGTTTATCTTGTATACTATGAACTTGCTGAGCTCACTATTAGTTTTAGGAGGTTTTTTTGGGAGGGGTGGATTCTGTGAGATTTCCTATATCATGTCTCCTGCAAATAGGGGGAGATTTTTTTACTTCCTTTCCAATCTGTACTGCCTTTTACTTCCTTTGTTTGCCTAATTACAATTGCTAGAACTTCTAGTACAATGCCAAATAAAAGGAATGAGAGTGAGGATCCTCGTCTTGCTCCTGATTTTCGGGGGAAAGCCTTCAGTCTTTCACCACTGAGTGAGATGTTAGCGGTAGGTTTTTCTATAGATGGTGTTTATCAATTTGAGATAACTCCCTGCTGCTCTCAACTTGAAGAGACTTTTGTTTTTTGCTTTGTTTTTGTTTTATGTTTATAAATCACGAATGGGTGCTGGATTTTGTAAATGCTTTTTTGGTATTAATTGATATGATTGTATGTTTTTTTCCTTCTTTAACTTGTTGATATGGTGGATTACATTAACTGATTTTCAAATACTGAACTCGCCTTGCATACTTGGAATAAACTCCACTTGATCACGGTGTATAATCCTTTTTAAATTTTATTAATTTTTTATAGCTAATATTTTGTTAAAGATTTTTGCATCTAAGTGCATGAAATATATTGATCTATAGTCTTTTTAAAAAAATATGTGCTATCTTTGTCTGATTTTGGTTTCAGGGTAATACTGGCCTTATAAAGTAATTTGGAAAGTGCTCTTTCCTCTTCTATTTTTTCAAAGAGATTGTATAAAATTGGTGTTAATTTTTCTTTAACTTTCACAATATTCTCCAGTGTAACCATCTGGGCCGGAGGATTTCATTTTTGAGAGTTTTAGAATTATGGATTAATCTTTATATTTACATAGCTTTATGTTCCCCCCATGTCTGACTAGGCAAATGTTTTGTTGGCTTTACGAGAGGAAGGATGTCAGAGAAGACCATGCCCCACCCTCCTATGTTACCCCACTGCAGCTGGCCCTTTCCCTTGTCATCCCTTGGGTGAATACAAGTTTAAGGGTGGGGAGGCAGGAAGCCTCCCTTGTGGGTACCCCAGGTGTTTCCTCACAGGGCAGGCCGTGGACGCTGAGGGTGAGATGAGAGGCGTCTCCAGGGTCCTACGTTAAAGAAGCGTGGGCACCAGGCAGGGTGTCCCCAGCAGCTCCCATCCCCTCGTGGTCACAGGGCTTGATAACGAACAGCAGGTGCCGATCTGGAGACAGGCAGAGAGATGAAAAGTCCTAGGCGAGGGCCCCAGCCCCATACACACGGTGCTGGTGATGGTATCGCTGCAACTGTAACAGCAAAGGGAGGCAGGTGTTGGGCATTGAGAGACGAGCGTGTGAAAGTTGGAGGAGAAGGACCATAGGAGGAGATCCAGACTGCACGCTGGGTTACACGCAACGATGAGCCCTGGGGCTGCCCAGAGTCCTTATGAGGGCTGGTTCAGCCTCACAGGCCTCTGTGATTCTGTGTGCAAACTGTAGACCGACTGTGTGCACACATTGGGCACACTGCACCCACCTGTGTGAGCAGATGCTTGTGTCCT